AGCGCCAACGAACAAGAAGGAACTGCAATCTCTGCTGGGCAAGATAAACTTCTTAAGGAGATTTATATCTAACCTAAGTGGAAAAGCGCAAGCCTTCTCACCCTTACTTCGATTGAATAAGGAAGGATTCGAGTGGGGGCAAGAGCAACAATATGCCTTCGACAAGATCAAAGGGTACCTCACCAAGCCACCTATTTTGGTGCCTCCTTGTAGCAATAGGAGTATGAGATTGTACATAGCTGCATTCGACAAAACCTTGGGAAGCATGTTAGCCCAAGAAGATGAAAATGGAGTCGAAAGACCCATTTACTACCTTAGCAGAGTTTTGAACGATGTAGAAACTAGATATAGCGAAGTTGAAAAATTATGTCTATGTCTTTATTTCTCTTGTACAAAGCTCAAAAAATATATAAAACCAGTTGATGTGTATGTTTCGTCCCATTTTGATGTTTTCAAATACATGTTATCGAAACCCATCTTGCACAGTCGAATTGGCAAGTGGGCGCTAGCATTAACTGAGTATTCATTGACCTTTATGCCTCTTAAGGCAGTAAAAGGACAAGTGGTAGCAGACTTCATAGTCGACCACTCAATTCAGGTTGAAAATATAAATTACTTGGAGATAGAACCCTGGAAATTTTACTTCGATGGTTCCAGCCATAAAGATGGAACGGGAGTAGGGGTCTTAATTATTTCTCCAGAAAAAATTCCAACAACATTCAAGTACAAGATAGAAGGTACTTGTTCGAACAATGAGGCTGAATACGAAGCTCTAATTACTGGCCTTGAAATATTGTTGGAATTGGGGGCAACTCGAGTCGAAATAATGGGAGACTCAGAGTTAGTCATTAAGCAAGTCACAAAAGAGTACAAATGTATAAGAGAAAATCTCATTATGTACTTTGTGATAGCAAATTGTTTATTGAAAAAATTCGAAGTGGTTAATATTCGACACATACCTAGATTGGAAAACCAAGTAGCCAATGATTTGGCACAAATTGCATCTGGGTATAGGATTTCAAAAACGAGATTACAAAGAGCAATCGAAGTCCGAGAAAAAATAATAGCAACCAGCTTGTCTCCAACTGATTTGGAATCGACAAGACTAGGATATGCCGATCAAAGGAATTTCGAAATTACGTTCATAGACAATTTATCGGAGCAAGACTGGAGGAAACCCATTGTAGATTACCTACAAAATCCAGCAGCTTTGACAGAACGAAAAATAAAATATAGGGCGTTAAGTTACGTACTCATGGGGAATGAGTTGTTCAAAAAGACGCTTGAAGGGGTATTATTAAAATGCTTAAGAGAAACCGAAGCATACATAGCCCTTTCGAATACGCATGCTGGAGCATGTGGGGCTCACCAAGTAGGTCATAAGATGAAATGGTTGTTGTTTCGACAAGGACTATATTGGCCCACTATCTTGAAAGATTGTGTCGAGTTCGCGAAGGGTTGCCAGGAATGCCAAGTCCATACTGGTATCCAACATGTACCAGCAAGCGAGCTTCACTCAATAGTGAAACCTTGGCCTTTTAGAGGATGGGAGTTGGATCTTATTGGAGAGATTCGACCAGCATCATCGAAGAACCAGGAGTATATACTGGTAGGCATTGATTATTTCACTAAATGGATTGAAGCTATCCCTTTAGTCAACGAAGACCAAGAAAATGTCATTGAATTTATTCAAAAGAACATTATCTACAGATTTGGAATCCCTGAGACTATAACAACTGATCAAGGGTCAGTGTTCACTGGTCGAAAGATGCAGGAATTCGCGCAAGAAACAGGCTTCAGACTCCTAACATTAACACCTTATTACGCGCAGGCAAATGGTCAAGTCAAAGCGGCGAATAAAATAGTGATTGGCCTGATAAAAAAGCATGTAGGAAAGAAGCCAAAAAATTGGCATAAAACGTTAGACCAGATCTTTTGGGCCTGTCGAACGTCCCCAAAGGAAGTCACAGGTACAACACCATATCGGCTAACTTACGGTCATGACGCAGTACTGCCAGCAGAAATTTGTCTTCAATCAGCAAGGGTTCAAAGACATCAAGATATTCCCTTTGAGGCTTATTGGGATATGATGTTAGATGAATTGGTAGATTTAGATGAAGAAAGACTACGAGCTCTCGACCTACTGAGAATTCAGAAGAAAAGAGTGGAAGACTCTTACAATAAGAAAGTAAAACCTAAGGCATTCTCGCCTGAAGAACTAGTTTGGAAGGTAATTCTTCCTATGGATCGAAAAGATCGAAGCATGGGAAAATGGTCACCCAAGTGGGAAGGACCCTTCAAAATTATTCGAACTTTTTTTGGTGGAGCATATGAGGTCGAAGAGTTAAGCGAAGATAAAAGACTCTTGAGAGTAAACGGCAAATATTTGAAAAAATATAAACCTATGCTCCAAGAGATCAAAATAAATAATAATTAATGATTAAGTTAACCATAAAGCCAAAATGGAAAATAACATTGATAAACCAAAATGGCTACAAAAATTACAAAAATTACAGTACATGGTCAATGAAGTACATAGCAAATTAAAAAGGGATGGAAGCTTTGAGACGAAGATATTTTGCTCGTTGTAACTCCAGTCGTTTGTTGCACAAGGCATTCGCCTGAGAGATTTTGGCAATCTGGTCATCTAGAGCCTGGGCCCTTTCAGCGAACTCTAGGCCTCGAGAAACTTCATCTTGGCTCTCCGCGTCTGAAACAATCGAAAGAAGTTCTTCCTTGCGCTTAGTATTAGCGTTTAACCTGGCTTCCAACTCCTCGATCCGCGCCCGTATAGAGGCATTATCCTGATCGATGGCTTCGATTTCCTGTTGCTTGGACGTTCTCTGTTTCGACAATTCTGCAATTCGAGAAGTAGATTCAGCTACTTCAGTCCAAGCAGAAGAACTCTTGCCATGCAGCGTTTTGAGTTGGCTGTTGAACCCCTTCGACGATTGTAGTCCGCAGAGACTTGGTCAATAATGGAGTATAACTCCAAGATGAAGCTGGAAATCTCTGGAGAAACAGCAAGCAAATCGACTGCACCCAAGACATCCCCCAAACAAGATTGGGCATTAGGATCCCCCTCCAAAGCTTTCATTAGGTCCCTCTTAAAGAATTGAGCCTTAACTTTCTTCAAGACCTCATCGAGAGGAGAAGTCGAAGTAGACTTCCCTGATGCAGTAGAAGCATCATGACTAGGGTCAGATGAATTTTCCCTGCTCTCGACAATGGCATTCAGGTAGCCAATTGGATCATTTTGCTTCAAGAGGGCCAAGTCCTCTTTAGACCTGAGCTTTGTCGAGGTAACCTTTTCTGCGGCAATGGTGGCTTGGGGCTGAGCATTTTCAGCAGCATCGGCGTCAACATGACCCTCTTCATCATGTTGCTCTACTGTCTCGTTGACCACTTGGACTTCCTCCTGGTGGTGCTTCTCAGGGGCACCCTCTGTCTCAGCAAGAAACTCATCATCCACCAGTTCCTCTTCGCGTTGTCTGCTATGTGTTGTACCCCAATTTTTGACCTAAGATCCCACTTGCATTTTTGCATTTTTTATACAAAAGTCAAGGTCACTAAATACGGTCGGTTTTAACCTCTCACCTTCGAGCGTTGACTATGCGAAGATTGTCAAGTGTTTTGAACATTTTTAGCCTATGCATCACTAATTTCTAATCGCATACAAAGGTGTATGTTCATGTTTTCTTTTGTTTCATGTGCAGAGACAGGTCTGAATCAAGAGCATCAGGTGTCGCGCCTCAATTAAGGTTTTGAGTCTCCCACGCCAGAAGTACGGTTGATTGTGGATTCTCGAAGACTGATTCATCAAGGCACAACCGTTGCACCCTTAATTTTGCCCCTAATATGTTTTAGTCGCACTTTCATATCATATTTTGTTATTTGGTCACAATCATTAGTAAATATCTTCATTCATCATATTTTGCATCATTAGTCGTATTTAAGTTTAATAATAAAAATATTTTGGTTTTATAGACAAACTGTTAAAAGCGATTCAACAATGTGCGAAAAATTAGCGAGAAAAATATTTCAAGTTTTCACCTTTTACAGATCATTTTATGAATCTGCATCTCGCATAGATTATGACGGTACGCTCGCTTTATTTTTTCGATACAGTTCAAAGTCTCGTTTTTAACCGTAAAACGTCTATTTAGCCTGGTATTTTCATTATCATTTTATTCCTATTTTTACTTTTTTGAATATTTTTTCTTTAATCTTTGTGACATGTAGTTTATTTTAATGTGTTCATTTTATTTTTTCGGATAAATTTTCGTCCGTTTTTTATTGTTTTCGGTCATTTTAGCTCTTTATTTTTTATTCAAAAAATATATTTTAAATTGAATTAATTTTAATACTTTCAGTTTTTATTTCATTTTTATCATTTAAGGGCGTTTTTGTCACAAAAAATATATTGATTACCCTATACTATGCTCTCATTGGCTGTTAGCAAAAGTGGTGGATTGATACAAAGAAAATGCAAATCAACTAATCATGATTGAATTTAAAATCAATTTTTTCTTCTTCACTTGTCTATATAAGACCTCTTATTTTCTTTGCAAAGGGGGGGGGGGGGGGGGGGGGGAGACACAAAAAAAAGCAGAAAAGCAACTCACAGCAATAAACTCCCTTCATTTTCTCTCTTCCCTTTTTCCTTTTCTCGTCTCCCTTCTTTCCTTTTTCCTCACCCTCTCTTTCGCCCCTTTTCATCTTCCAGAAACACTTTTCATAAACCCAAACAACAATCAATCTTCACTTTGTTTCCATCAATCTCAACCTCTCAAACAACAGATTCACAAACCAGGTTCATCTTTCATCTTTTCAAAACCTTAAAATCCACTTCCTCTCTCCGCCACGGCATCACACAACCTGCACACACATAAAACCCACCTTCACTTAAGATCACTGCATTCGTTTCACCCTCTCACCATGACGATATCGAGCTTAGTTTCACTCATGAGAATCTGAAACAGTATGCTGGTGAAATTAACATGTCCTTTGAGCTTGAGATTCTGACACTCGAGTCTCTGAATTTTGTATCATGGCCGCAGCCACTTCGTGACTGCGAAGCAGTTGTTGTTAACTTGCCTATATGCTCTTTCTCAAATTACCCTTCTTACCTTCCTTTGGTGCTTCGATTCATGAAGCAACTCATGCCTAAAATCGTGGTTACATTGGATAGGAGCTGCGATCGAACTGACACACCGTTTCCTCAGCATATGATTCTCGCTATCCAGTCTTATTCCGGTTTGCTCGAGTCACGTGACGCTGTTAGTGTTAATGTTCATCCATACGTACTTCAAATGATTGAAAAATACTATCTTCAACCAGCAATCGAGAAGCTTGTTTTGGGCCGTCTGCGTTCACAAGACAGAACACTTCCTTGGAAAAATCTTCTCTTGTCGTCAGGGTTCTCGCCATTGACGTTTAGCAACTTTACTGAGTCACAAGCTGAGTGTTTGGTACGGAGGATTCCCGGCAGGGGATTCCATGTCGAGAAGAAGCAGAATTCACTCGTGTTGTGCTGGCAAAGGAAGGATCTCATCTCGATTTCAACTTGGAGATGCTGAGAATCGGGGCAACGATGTTGCTTGCTCGCACCTTTGAAGCTGCAATTAGGAAGTTTTATAATGAAAAGGTGCTTCATAACTTATTACTACTACTGTTTTTATTGATCCTCTTCCTTAATTTGCCTTGGCTTTATGATTCAATGCTAATTTGTCTATGTTTAGGATTTGTTATTTCCACTAATGATGGAAGTAAACGTATTATGTCTTGATTAGCAACTGAATGGCAATTTATGACCTCTTTTGGGTAGTATTATTTTTTTTTTGCTTTGAATATATCGTTGTTCGATTTCTGTTGCCCTCTTTCAATTTCAAATAGCAACAACACTTTTTTTATTTTCCTTTCTAATTAATATTTTGAATTGAAATTAATGTGATGTGTTTCTTTTAGTTGAGTTGTAGAGTTTTTGAAACAATTGTGTTAAAATGGGTATTGTTGACATTTTTAGTTTTTTTGTTGTCAATTTTGGAGAATTTAAATTTAGTTTTAATAATTAATTTGTTCCTCATTAGTTTAGAATTTTTTTCAATTGGAACTATGGAGTTTAATGCATAGATATAGTGGTTGTCCAAAATTTGGTTTAATTGAATAATTCCTGAATTGGAATCAATTTTCCGTGTTCGATTTTGATTTGAATAATTTCCTGAATTCTTGATTTTGATTTGTGTAAATATCCATTTATTCACGTGTATTCATACAATTTTATTTTTGATTTTTATACTCACTAACACATATTTTAATTGTTGCAATTTCGTTTCATTTTAATTTGTATACCGCTTATGCTACTAACAAATTTGCTTACTGTGAAGGTTTTCGAGAACAATTTCAAGCGTTCGTTCCCGCGTAGCGCATTTATAATTTTTCTTTATTCCCTTCTTACCTTACTATTTTGATTTAATATTTGGTACTGTAAATACATACTTGTACATAATATTTTGACTGTATATTTTACTTGTAAATAAATTCAGGTTTTTGAAAATATTATTTTCATCGCATTATGATTTTATTTTTAATTCCAACTAACTTCTGAAAATTGTGTGGACGCACATAAGTTTCCCGTGCTGTTAGATTTTGTCGGTATATCTCTTGTGATGCAGGGATTCTTATCTGGCACTGTGAGCTTTATCCACCGCCTTTGCGCTTTATCTGATGCTTGGAATATTATCTCACATTAGGTTTTTTGATGATGCTGTCGGCCTGTGATTTATTTTCACCTAAGGTTTGGTATACTCTTAGCTTATTTATCTGTCTGTGGCTTTAAATCCAAGGGAAAGAATTAATTTGTTGACTTCATGTCATCGAGTATCTAATACGATTGTGTGAACCCCTTCATACATTTTTAATTTTGTAAATCTTAAGATAAATCTCCTCAAAACCTAATTTCAAACATACACTCTTTTAAACCAAAACTTCGACACTAGGTCGTCGCATCTTCAAAATCTCGTCCATACCCATCTTTTAGCCAAACGAATCATTTTAATCAAACAAACAATTTTAACCAAAAAACAGATATTTCAAAAGGTTCCTGCGGAGTACCGCAGATGCATTGAGTGCTAATACCTTCCCATTGTATAACCAACCCCCGAACTCTCGATCTCTTTTCAAAACGCATGGTATTTTCATTACTTTTAAGTATTATTATACATTGCATATTTTAGGGTTTTATTTCGCTCTTTTCCCTTTTCCCTTGGAAATAATAAAGCACGGTGGCGACTCTTGCTTTGGTGAGTCAAGTTAATTAATAGCTTGATCTCTGATTTTCACCGCTACAGAATTGGCGACTCTGCTGGGGATAGATCGACCTCTTGCTGGTCCATCCCTAAGTGGGTTAAGCCTAATTTGTTTTATCTGTTTTATCATTATTTGATTGTTTGATTATATGTATATATTATGATTATTTGGGTGTTGATAATATTTACAAAGGACAAGTCCTATACCCGGACTAAGTTACACTTAGGAATAGGACGGGCGGTATAGTCATGTTAACTTTGAGGGAGTAATCCCGAAGAAGAAGGCATGAGATCCCCCACTCAGTGGAAGGCCCTTTTGAACGTAATATTTGTTTACCGAGTAATCGGGAAGACATTATTATTTTTGACCTGGGAGCCAGAGAAGCTGGGAACCGTAGAACCCTAACCCATCTTGGCCTTTTAGGTGTAGCGCGGAGATTATAACGGAGTAATCCGGAAGTAATTGTTACGCGATGCTACACTCGGATGAGTTTCTTTTGAGAATATTGCTGATTATTGAGTAATCAAGACGTTGGTAATATCCGAAGGAGGAACGTAGACTCCGGGAACTCTTAGAACCTTGTTCTACAGGTGTGATTAAACCCTTAGTACATACCTTGGGGGTGTTCCTTACCTTGACTCCATGCTCGTGACGTTGAACCTTTCGACTTTATTTGTGACCTTGCTTGTGGTTGTTGCATAACCATGCATTCATGCATCCATAAAACCCTTTTCACTTGACTTTGAAGGAATTTGGAGGTCTTTCTTTGTAAACATTACAAGTTTCGTCAAGCTCAATGGATCTTGGGTGTTGATAGGGCGAAAACCCTAATCCACCAAAATGGATGATTGATCTTGATGATAACTTGATCAATGTTTGGAGCCAATTTAAAATTCATCTTCTATCTTCATACTTTGATGTTTACAACTTAATATCTTGAGTTCTCTGAAAGTCAGATAAAAACTCTCTTTTGCATATCATGCATCATTCTACATTTTTGTTTCATTTTCAAAGGTCTTTTTCCAAGTCTTATTTTTCCTTTGGTCTCACCAGTATAACACTCGCGCTAAGAGGATAATGGAGAATATCAAGCAAGAGGTTTCTGAACTCCGTAGAGAGATGACTATTTTGAAAGCTAGTATGGAGCACTTAACTGGTTTGGTTGAAATTTTGGTTGCCTCCCAAGTCAATCCTTCTAGGAGGAAGGAAGCGATGATAAAAGTCTTCACTGAAACTCTGAAATCATGAGAAGATAATAATTAATGCGCCTAGTGACTTTCCTGACAAGGTGAATGTGGGAGTGTGTCTAGAAGAAGATGTTGGGAAGGGATGTTCATATGAAGATGGTAGCTCAGCTAATGGTGTGAAGAAGTTTGATAATAAATTTTCCAAGAAGAGAACCATAGGAAGAAATAGTCATCGTCAGAATCATCATGTTTCTCCCATTCATCAACAGAATCAGCAAGTTCCTAATCAGAGGAAAACCCAGTGTGATCCAATTCCAATTACCTATACAGAGTTGTTCCCTATCCTGATGCAGAGGAATTTGGTTCAGACCCGACCTCCACCGAAGGTTCCTGAGAAGATACATTGGTACTACAAAGCTGATTTGGCTTGTACTTTTCATCAAGGTGCTCCCAGGCATAACTTGGAGGGTTGCTTTGCTTTGAAGATTGAGGTTCAGAAGTTGGTCAGAAGTAGTATCTTGTCATTCAAGGACGTTGGTTTTGAAGTTCAAATCAAGCATGCGCCGAAGAGTAAACACGATTGATGGTCACTTTGAGTTTTGAAGGATGTTTTCGGTGATTCAAGTCTAGATGGAAAGCCTTCCCCAATCATTAATGTATTTCTGCTTGTTGTAATTTTTCTTGTTTATCAAAACATTGTTTGCATGTAAGAACTTGTTTGCATTTGAATGATTATCTTAATACAATGAGCATGTTTGTCTTGAAGAAATTCATTCGTTTCACTCATATTTGTTTTCAAATTTTAAATTGCTTTTTGCATTATGATACTAACTTGTTGCCCAGTCTCTTGCCTAGGCAGAGATTGAAGGGAGGATGATGATCTAAAGAACACAAAATCTCTGGTTGTTTGCTTTTGGATAAAATCTTGCTGATGATGTACAGGCATTGTTTCAAATTCCTAAACACCGGAGATATAAGGAAGATAATCCCTTGCTAACCCCTTTTGAGCCTTTGAAGCAGAAGTTTCTTTTCTATACGAAAAAACCTTGAATTTTAACCCGGGGCAGGGTAGTTTTTAGTTAATCTGACTGAGTGTTCAAAATTCATAAGGAAGATGTTTTTTTAAGAGAAACTACGAGGGCTATCCTTCATGTATAATGAATCTAGAGGATGTGGAACCACAATGTTATCCCTCATTCATCAAGAAACGAGGCAATCACAATCCTCTCAACAAGCAAAGACAAGCTAATGTCACACATTTTGTTCAAAAAGTCAAAAATCGAGAAAAAGAAAAAGCCTGCTAAGTCAAAAAACATGAAAACGTGTGACTTAGGCAAAATTAAGGCATCCCGCTGGACTATCAATTCAAAAGAATTAGTTCAGGCAAAAGTTAGGGAAAATAAAAATTTCAAAGAAAAGGACTACAAAGAAAAGTCCTCAGCAAAGAACAAATTGGTGACTACAAACACGAAGACATGAGGTTGGTTTCTACTCCGAAAGCCTCGTCATTTCCTTGACCGTCACAAAATCCTTTTGAGAGATGAACACTCATGTTGAATTAACTGAACATAGGATTGGAGAACATCATGAAGAATGGGTGGGCACCAAATATTTTGAGCTTTAAAAATCTTTTTTCTAAAAACCATGAACCAGGCCACGTTACAACCTTCAAAAGTCCTAATTGAAGCAAGGTTATTTTGAAAGCATACTTCAATGAGATAGTGTTCCTGACTCCCATGAATGTTCTAAATAGTTATGTTGGTATCATATGTTTTTCCTATACAAAAATAAATGGTGCTCTAACTTGCAAAATTTGTGCGATATCTTTTCAAAATCTTCAAGACTTACATAACTGTTGCATTAGAATTTTCATTCTCATAATAAACTTTTTCTAACTGCAAAACATTTGTTTGATATCAAGGAAACTCACATATAAGCATTAACGATGAGTTTATTCTTTTAAGGCCTGAAATTGTGTTGAGTAATTGGCGAATCATTTCAAGAAAAAAAATCACATCTAGGGGCATGTCACATGAAGACCTTAAGCACATACATGTTACTTCTCCCAGTTAATGCTTTTCCCA